TAGGTGTCCATTTGGTCAAATGTCAAGTTTAGGTTCTGGATCTCCATGTTGATTTTTTGCCTCGATGATTTATCTAGACTGTTAGTGGGGTATTCAAGTCCCCTGCTATAATAGAATCATTATTTTTTTTAGTTTATTTAGTGGTTGCTTTATAAATGCTGGTGTTCCTGCTTTGGGTACATATATGTTTAGGATGAATTTTTCTTGTTGAAACATTAAACTTTTATGATTATGTAGTGTCCTTTCATATCTTTAAAATTTTTTTTTGAGTTGGAGTCTCACTGTCGCCCAGACTGGAGTGCAGTGGCCGCTCCCGGCCACCACAGCCTTGACCTGCTGTGCTCCGGTGATCCTTCCGCCTCAGCCTTCCAAGTAGCTGGAACTACAGGCACATGCTATCATGCCCGGCTAATTTTTTTGCTTTATTGTAGAGATGAGGTCTCACCAAGTTGCCCAGGCAGGTCTCGAACCCGTGGGCTCAGGCAATCCACTCACCTCAGCCTCCCAAAGGCGCGGGATTACAGGATGAGCCACCAAGCCCAGCCATATCTTTTAAAATTTTTGCTAGCATAAAGGTTGTTTTGTCTGATATTAAGATCGTGACTCCTGCCTTCTTTTGTGATCCATTTGCCCGGAAACTCGTTTTCCATCCTTTAAATTTGAGTCTGTGTGCATCCCTTGTGGTGAGATGAGTTTCCTGGATGCAGCAAATAATTGAGTCATGGTTTCTTATCCAGTTTGCCATTCTGTGTCTTTTCAGTGGTGAATTTAGTCCATTCACCTTCAGGCTGATTATTGAAATGTGATTGTTTATCCCCGTCATGAGATTCTTATAGAATTTTTTCTTTGTTTGTTTTCTTTTAGCTTTGGGGTGGATGTATGTGTGTGTTTTCAAGTTTGCCGTTGCAATGAAGTCTCTGTTGATTCTGTGCTCTGTTGTTCTCTTGGGAAGTGTGCTGTGATTCTTTTTTCTTCTTCTGTGTTTAATACCTTTTTAAGTGTCTCCTGCAGAGCTGGTCTGGAAGATGCATAATCTCTTAGGGATTGGATGTCTGGGAAAGATTTTAATTCTTCATTGCTGATAAAGCAGAGCTTGGCTGGGTAGGAAATTCTTGGTTGAAATTGTTTATCTTTGAGGACTTTGAATATTGGACTTCACTCCTTTCTTGCTTGTAGTGTTTCTGCTGATAGGTCTGCTGCTATTCTGATTGTTTTCCGCAGTAGGTAGTCTGAGCGTTCTCTCTTGCTGCCTTTAGGATTTTTTTTTCTTTTGTCCTACTTTGTATAGACTAATTACTATGTGTCTAGTGGTTGGTCTTCTCATTTAATGTCTTGTGGGGGTTCTCTGTATCTCTCTTGTGTTTGGCTAGTCATATCTCTTGTGAGATGGGGAAAGAGTTCTGAGATAACATCCTGAAATACTTGCTCCAAGGTGTTCTCCATTTCCCCTTCTTCTTTTGTAATACCAATCAGGTATAGATTTGGCCTCTTGATATAATCACACATCTCTTGTAGGCTTTGTTCTTTCTTTCTGAGTTTTCTTTCTATGTTTTTTTACAGATCAGATTAATTCCATGTTCTGGTCTTCAAGTTCTAAGACTCTTTCTTCTGCTTCACTAATTCTGCTTTCTATGCTTGTCATCTTGTTATTTGTTTTCTGAATGAAATTTTTTATGGCCAAAATCTCTGTTACAAGTTCTTTCAGTGTTGCATCTTGTCTTTCTTGAATCTTATTCACTCTTTCCATCGATTCCCTAATCCCTGTCATATCCTGGGGCCAGTTGTTGGTGACTTCTATTGCTTGGGCTCTAAGGCTGATTTTTTTCAGGCATTTTCTCTTTGTTACACTTGTAAAGACCTGTGGTCTTCTGTTGGTTTTTCCTCATTTGTGACAAATCTCTTTCATTTCTCCAAAGTTCCGTTATTCAGTGGCAGTGGGAGAGGCTTTCGCTTCTGATGTTTGCTCATCCCTCTATTTTTCCCTGATTCATGCTCTGGATTTGTTTTATTTTGAAACAGGACTGTGGTTGGGAAGCTTTGCTGTCTCTTTTAGTTTTGAGAGTTGAATAAGGTAGAGGATGGGGAGCTAGGATTCAGAAACTCCTTGCAAATCACAGTGTTCACTGGTTGTGGTATGGGTTCCCTGAGACCCACTCTCCACCACCACTCTATATGTGATGCAGTGGTTATATGTGTGTACCCCCTGAGTCCAAGATACAGTAACAGCAATGAGGAAAACAGAGAAAAGTAGAAAAATAAGATAGACAAATTTTTTTAAAAGATGAAAAATAAAAAGAACAATGAAAAGCAGAAACCAATGCAAAAACCAATTGAACATGCGCGCGCGCGCGCGCGCGCACACACACACACACACACACACACCCCAATACAAACAGGAATAACAACACAGCAAAACAAAACAACAACAACAAAAAGCCACAAAAACCAGATACACACACACACACACACACACACACACACACAGCACAGAATGAATGCAGAAGAAAAAGAAAGAACAGGAAAAAAAGACAAAGAAAAAGTAGAAATTCTGATCGAACCCTCACACATATATTCACATACACATAAACTAAAAAAAAGAGAAGAATAAAAGAGCAAAAACAAACCAACAGCCGGGCTCAATGGCTTAACCTGTAATCCTGTGCCTTTGGGAGGTTGAGGTGAGTGGATTGCCTGAGCCCTCCTGGGCAGCGAGACCTCATCTCTACAATAAAAAAAAAAAATCAGCCGGACGTGGTAGCGCATGCCTGTAATTCCGGCTACTTGGAAGGCTGGGGCGGAAGGATCACCAGAGCCCAGCAGGTCGAGGCTGCGGTGGCCGGAAGCAGCCACTGCACTCCAGTCTGGGTGACAGAGTGAGACTTCAACTCAAAAAAAAACCCACCAACAACAAAAAACTGAAAGGTGAACACCCAATCATCCACATACACACTAAGCAGAAAACAAAAAAACAAGAGAAGAGGAAAAAAAGGGGGGATGCAGATCAAACCCTCACATACACGTTCATGCACAAAGGAAAAATTTTTTTTTTTTTTAAAGTCGAAACGCTGACAGACAGAAAAATTTTTTTTTAATTAAAAAAAATTTAAGCCGGGCTCAGTGGCTCAGCCTATAATCCCGCGCCTTTGGGAGGCTGAGGTGAGTGGATTGCCTGAGCCCGCAGGTTCGAGACCCGCCTGGGCAGCGAGACCTCATCTCTACAATAAATCAAAAAATCAGCCGGGCATGGTTGCACATGCCTGTAATTCCGGCTACTTGGAAGGCTGAGGTGGAAGGATCACCAGAGCCCAGCAGGTCGAGGCTGCGGTGGCCGGAAGCGGCCACTGCACTCCAGTTTGGGTGACCGAGTGAGACTCCAACTCAAAAAAAAAAAAAGGTAAAAACACCCAAAACCTGCCCTCTTGTGGCATGTTCTGTAATTGTTCCTCTCATCTGCTTCTCTCCTGTCTCTTGCAGAGCTTCCACCTCATTCACTCTCTCCCCAGTGTTTGGACCAGGGAAGGAGGAGGGACAGTGGGGGTAGGTGGGGCTGTCGTCCTCCCCTTCTACTCTCGTATGGTCAGGAGGATCCCCTCTGGTGGGGAAGCGCGGGATTGTCTCTTCCCCAGGCCTGTATTCCTTGGGCATGCCCCAGCCAGGCCTATCCTGGAATGGAGTTCTCCTATTGCGGTTGACATCCAGGCTCAGCCTGGGTTGGTCCCTCTCAGTCGTACCCCAGCTGTGTGGGTCTGCTGTTCAGAGGATTGCTGGGGTGGAGAAGGGGTTGGGTCAGCTCTGGACTCACCACTGATCTCTTTGGAGGTCCTCCTCGTCCTTTTCTGGCCACACCCTGGGTCCTGCAGCTGAATCAGGGCAAGGGGTGGCGTGCCTGAGACTCAGCACTGGTCCTGTGCCTCTGAAGTTTGTGCTTTCAGGGTATTCCCTCTGGGTAATGATCAACCCCTGACTAGTTCCGCTGGTCCTAGAGATCTTCTGCAGTGGGGCTCTGCCTCTGGGCTCCCTCCATAGCCCCTGGTACTGTGTCTGGCCAGATGTGCAGTGGTGAGGCAGAGTCTGGAGCCAGCAGTCTCTCCTGCTGCTGTGGTGAAGCAGAGCCTGGAGTTGGTAGTCTCTCCCCACAGCTTCTTCCCAGGAAAACTTTTGTCAGTTAAGAAAAAAAATGGTGCTTGGCTTCTGCAACCCAGGAAGTACTAGGGACTAAGCAGAGCAGTTGCAGCACCAGCTGCTTCACCAGAAGAGCCCTGACCACTTGCTCACAAGCCTCCTTTTGTCTCTCCCAACTTCTTCCAAGGAAGGGTTTTGTTGATAAAAAAAAAAAAAATGAGCTGGGCTCAGTGGCTCAGCCTGTCATCCCGCGGCTTTGGGAGGCTGAGGTGAGTGGATTACTTGAGCCCGTGGGTTCGAGACCTGCCTAGGCAACTTGGCGAGACCTCATCTCTACAATAAATCAAAAATGGGCCGGGCGTGGTAGCACGCGCCTGTAGTTCCAGCTACCTGGAAGGCTGAGGTGGAGGGATCGCCGGAGCCCGGCAGGTCGAGGCTGCGGTGGCCAGGAGCGGCCACGGCACTCCAGTCTGGGCGACAGAGTGAGACTCCAACTCAAAAAAAAAATGGCTCTTGGCTTCTGCAACCAGGCAATCACTAGGGTCCAAACTGAGCAGCTGTGGCACCAGCCGTTTTTCCAGGCCACTTGCTCCTGAGCTCTCACTCCATCAGCCACTCCCACACCCTCTCACTCCCTGACAGGTACACACAATTTTCCATACACTTACTCACCCACTCACACTGGGACCCGCATAGTCTGCCTGGCTTGGCCGCCATCTTCCTGTCTTCCCCCTCATGCGTGTGTTTTTGAATAAAATTTTCATTATTTATAACAAAGAAGTAGCCGCTGATGCTTGGCCTGCCATGAAACCGAGGTGGGTGTGGGCCCTCTGGGTGCCTTTTCCCACATCATGTCTCCTTGTCGTCCTCCCTGGAAGGGGTGAAGAACGCGGACCTGAATGAGCTGCAGGAGATTGCGTCGGAGCCCGACAGCACCCATGCCTACAACGTGGCCGAGTTCGACCTCATGCACACGGTGGTGGAGAGCCTGACCAGGACTGTGTGCTCCGGGGTGGAGGAGCAGGACCGCGAGATCAAAGGTAGGGGTCAGCAGCACAGGCGTCTGGTGAACTGTGCGTCTTCTTGTTGCCTTTCCTGTGGGCTTCCTGAGTTTTCCTTTTCTCATGAGACTTGGGTCACCGGGAGTCGAAGAGGGAGCCCATGGCAGGCTTCGTGGGCAAGGGAGGGCGCTTCAGCTGCCAGATGGTTTTCTCCAGAGTGCCACATTTAGACACTCATGGCTATTTTCAATCTAAACTTTAAATTTTGAGATAATTGTACATTCTAAGACAGATGTAAGAAATAATAGAGAGTGTGGGCTCTTTCCTGGTTTTGCCCGATGGTAGTAACATTTGGCAGAACTGCAGTTCAGGATTACAAGCAGGGTATTGTCAAGGATCAGTTGCACATCACTGTGTTGGATTGCTTCTGGGCTCTCTGTTCTGTTCCTTTTGGTTATGTGTCCAACCCTCTTGCTGGATTGTACGGCCTTGGTTTACTGTCGCTATGTAGTAAGTCTTGAAATGGGGTAGACTTGAGTTCTCTCACTTGATTATTCTTTTTTTTTTTTTTTTTTTTGAGTTGGGGTCTCACTCTGTTGCCCAGACTGGAGTGCAGCGGCCGCTCCCGGCCACCGCAGCCTCAACCTGCTGGGCTCCGGCGATCCTTCCGCCTCAGCTTTCCGAGTAGCTGGAATTACAGGCATGCGCTCCCACGCCCGGCTGATTTTTTTTTGGATTTATTGTAGAGATGAGGTCTCGCTGCCCAGGTTGGTCTCGAACCCGCGGGCTCAGGCAATCCACTCACCTCAGCCTCCCAAAGGCACGGGATGACAGGCTGAGTTTATTCTATGAAAATCTTGTTGAAATTTTGATAAAAATTGCATTAATTACCAATTAAAGAATGAACCTTCATGGTGTCTCCTGAGAAATCTGCTGTCATTCAAATTGATTTCCTCCTAGAGGTAAGGTGTCATTTCTCTCTCATTCTGATTAGTTTTCAGACATTTGACTATGGTATGTCTTGGTGTGAATTTCTGTGGGCCTGTCTTGTGTGGGGTACAGTAATTTTCTCAAATCTGTAGTTTGTATGATATGCCATATTTGGGGAATTTTTAGGCATAATTTTTTCAAGTACTTTTTCAGTCCTGACTTCTTTCTCTTCTCCTTCAGGGACTTAGATATTCTTTAGAGTCTCACATGTCTTTAAGCTCTATTAATTTTTTAAGTCTATTTTCTCTCTGTTGCTTGAATTAGGTCATTTCTATTGTTCTCTCTATCACATTTACTGATTTTTTTTCCTCTGTTGACTCCATTCTTCTGTTAATCCCATCTGTTAAGTTTAATTAAAAATATGTTTTGGTTATCCTGTTTTTAACTTTAACATTTCCACTTAGTTCTTCTTAATGCTTTCTACTTCTTTGCCAACACTTTCCGTTTCTTTGTTGCAAGTTTTAATTTCTCCGTTCCTTTGACTTGCGGCTCTGCTTGTGCACTAAAGCATTTGTATGAGGCCGTGCTTACAGTTAGCAGGCTTCCCCTAACACCACTCTGGCAGGGGAAGGGGCACTGCCTCATTTGGCCAGGTAGGGGAGAAGTCCAGGCTCCCGAATTTGTCTCCCTTGACACTCCAGGGGCTGAGGGGCTCCTCCCTAGACTTCCACAATGCAACCCTGCTGAAGAACACTAGTCCCGCCCTGCTGTCCCCACTTGGCCTCCACCCACACTACTGTGAGAGGCGTCCTCACTGCCGGACAGTGGTGAAAGTCCTGCCTCGCCACGGGGTCTCCTCTAGCACCATCACGGAGCGAGGAGGGCCGGGTGCCTCCTACGGGGGTTCGGAATTCAGGCAGCCGCTTCCTGTCCTGGGGGACGGAGTCCCTGCCACCTGGTGGGGACGAATGTCTCCCCGCTTGGCCTTCTCTCACATCACCCTGGCTGGGGTGAGGGTAGGGGCTTGTTGGTTGGGTCACCCTGTTACAGCCAAGAAAGGGGGAAGTTCTGGCTTCCCATGTGGCCTTTGCTGCTGTGTGGGAAGGTGGAACCATGGACCCTTTCTGTGTGGTTTTACGTCTTGGAAAGCTGACTACTTCCTCCTTTTTTGGCCAGAGAAAGCAGGCTTGTTTGGGGCTCTTTTTGCCTGTAACGGCTGATGTGTCTAGATTGTCAGATACTTTAGCACCACGCCTGGGATACATGCATCAAATTAACCTTCTTCTCTTGACTTCTCAGTGTCTTCTTATGCTTGTCTTGTATATAATTTCCAGAAATTGAGTGAGTCATCGCCAATGGAATAAAGTACCTCTGCTCCTTCTGGGACAAAAACCGTCATGGACTTTAACCTTGGCATCTTACAGCATCACTGGTCTGCAGGCTACACTTGGGTTGTAGGGATGCGATGTGGGAAGATGTGTTCTGGGTCGCACCCACGTCCTTCTTACAAGTCTGGTTTTGCTTCTTGTCTCCATTGTCTCCAAGAGTATGAAATGGGTCTAGGTGGCTGCACATCCTCTCTTCTGTGGTTCCCTGTCCCTGGGCCAGATCTTTTGGGGTTAGGTTGGGCATCCAAGTGGTGGAATCCTGAACAAACGCATTAGAGCCCAAACGCTTGGCATGTGGCTGATGACAGAGTTCATCATGCCATTCCTGGCCACAGTTCATGTCTGATGCATGGCATTCTCTCTGCACTCAGGTTTCACATGCCCCAAATCTTACAGAATCCTTGGTTGTAACATGTGTAGAACACATGTAAGATGTTTTCATCATGTCTAGCTCATGGGAGCATTTGGTATGTGTCAGTGTCAGTTGCCTTTTCTTTTTTTTTCTTTTCTTTTTCAGTCATTTGTTGGATTGAAGTCATCAGAATAGAGGTTGTGTCTTCTGCTGCTTAAAAACGCAGGCTCTGTATCAAGAAGCCAGATGTCAATCTCGATACTGATCCCTACTGAGTGAGGGCACTTGGTCAGACCACCTAGCTTCATTATGTCTTGGTGTCCACACCTACAGAACCTGAGCAGTTGTAGTAACTACGGAGAATTGAGTCAAATGAGATAACGCTTCTAGAGAGCTCAGAAGAGCACCTTTAGATACACATGGGCTTAATCGGTGTTTGCTTTTACTATTCACTCATAATGTCTTTAGGAACGTTCTTTGGAGTGAAGAGAACTTAGCATGGCGCCTGGTACCTAGCAGACGCTTCAGTGTTTGAGTAAACAAATGAATCACTGAACCAGCCTATTTAAAGATGAAAACTTGGAGGCACCATAAGAACAATATTTATTTCTGTCTAATGGGATTTCTTAGGTTCATAAGAAATAACTTTGGGGAAGAGTTTTATTTGATGTGTTTCTTCGCTTTAGCCTCAGCCCTGGCCACCACTGGGCCACCTACAGAGCTGATTACTTCTGAAGTCACTGCCAGAAGCTTCATGGTTAACTGGACACACGCCCCAGGGAAAGTGGAAAAATACAGAGTCGTATATTATCCTACCAGGGGCGGAAAGCCAGACGAGGTACGGAGATGATGTTTTGTGCCATTCTTTTCATTCTGTTGTCTGTTGTGGTGGAGAGAACAAGACCGAAATGCATGTGGAGGGAGATGATTGTGTCACAGATATTGTAAATAACTCGACTGAAAAACATTTCCACATGTCCAAGCTGTTCTGCCATCTCTCCATCAGATAGCCCTCAGAAGGGGCCAGGCACGCGTTTCTAACAACTAATTTTTCTTCCTAAAGAAAATGAATTTGAAAGCACAAGGTATAAATAGCTAGTTGTTGGGCCAGGACCCCTTTAGCTATTTGTGCGTTTTTTTTCCTCTTGGGAGTGGTCTGAGCTTTCTGCCTTCATGAAGCCTGTGTGTTTCAGCTCATGTGGTCACACGGTGGAAGCGTCCTCCAGGGCGAGAGCTTCCTGGACACTTGTAGGGATTAGTGCGACAGAATAGCTGGAGCGAAGCAGCCGTGGCTGCATTTTTTATGGTTTGGCCAACACAGGAGAGAATATGCGTCGCCAGATGGTGGGATCCTGTCCGTTTCCTACCTCAGACACCGCAGTTCACAGGAAAATGTTAAAACATGATGAAATTCCCTTTCTTTTTGATACTCTGCCCTCTGATTGACCTCAGCCTATTTCACAATTTTCTTCTGTATTATGACAGGATTTATGACTTCTTAAAGTGTTAGAAAAGTAGGTCGTGGAATTTTAAATCACTTGAACCAGGAAAAAAACCAGAGTGCTTCCAATAGTTCTTTTTTGTGACTAATAAGCCTTTTAAATGCTCCTCAAAGCTCTATGGAAGAATATCACTTCTGCTGCTATTAGGTGGAGTGAAAGGGCTGGGAATCAGCCTGGCAGTGATCCAAGTATTCCCATTAGTATGAATCAATAAAGGGTCTGGACACAGTTCATAAAAGGGTATCACTTTACGTAGGAGTTCAGAGGGTTGACCGCCAGGTGGAAGGAGGACGTGGCCCCAGTGAGGAAATATCAGATGGAATGTTCTTGCTGGAGATATTTTTGCCTTTTGATTCCAGTTCTGCTTTAAGGCATCTCACCCCCCCCAACTGCTCCTTCGCCAGGTGGTGGTGGATGGGAGTGCGTCTTCCACGGTGCTGAGAAGCCTGATGTCCCTAACGGAGTACCAGATAGCGGTCTTTGCGGTGTACGCCCACACTGCCAGTGAAGGCCTGCGGGGAGCGGAGACCACACGTGCGTAACTGGCTCTACCCCACCTCTCGCTCTGAAGCACCGCTCGGCTGGCCTTTCCTGCGCGGAAGCCCGCTCAGGTTGTGTTGAGGACATCCTGAACGGGATTCACACGCTCGGTGTGGTCCTGACCCATGCTAGAGCGGTGGTTTTGCGGGTGCTGCGTGTTGGGAAGGATGTGGTCCACCTCCAGTAGGTTTAGGGGTGAGCAGCCTTGTGTGATGAAGGCACAAAACACATCCATTCATTGCTCAACGCACGTTTGGTGACTGCCTATTATGAGCCAAGACTGTGCTTGGGTTTGTCAGTCGAAATGGAACAGGAGCCCCACGGAATACCAGGGAAGTTATGTGGCATCTGTCTTTATTCCTATCATTGTAACAAGAGCAAGCTTCTAGATATGAGTCATCCCTTCCCTGGGTGTGCTTATAGTAACACGTCCCTGATAACACACACACAACACACACACTTACACACACACCTACTCAGGGAATCATGGGAGGAGGTCATCTTAGAAAAAGGTTGGCCATTCTGCTAGTGATGTCCAACATGAATTGCATTCATGGACAGCACGATGCGAAGGAGTCTGAAAACTGTCTCTGAGAGATCAGTAACAGTGTCGACAGTGCGTGTGCCCGTGTGCCAGACACGGTGGCCACCACCATCTGCACAGTGTTGGGTTTATCCTGGCACCCGTCTGTGAGGCACGTATTGATTCCTCAGGCCACAGACTTGATTGAGTGACCGTGACTTCTCTCAGGGACGGTTCTGTCTAGTCAGGGTTGGAGCTGCAAGCCAAGGACGTGCCGACACATCGGCACCGCGGTGTGCGGTGGGCTCTTCCGTGGACATGTGTTCTGGAGCCAGAGTGTACGCCACGTCCCGAACTTGACTCCATGGTCGGAAGAACAGTCGGGGCCATGTCCGGAGGGCCCAGAAGTAGCCCTCGTCCCCCTCTCCCTTCCCCTCAAATGCGGCCAGTCTTGTTCCACGTCTCTCGAGGACACTCGCACACGCTTGAGCCTTAAGAAGCATTTCCTCCCGCAGTTGCCTTGCCCATGGCATCCGACCTGGACCTGTACGACGTGACTGAGAGCAGCATGCGGGTCAGGTGGGACGCAGTGCCCGGGGCCTCGGGGTACCTGGTCCTCTACGCGCCTCTCACAGAGGGTCTGGCTGGGGACGAGAAAGAGGTGAGCACTTGCTCTCTGCTTTAGTCCTAGAGCCCCTGACTTCCTTAACACAGAATGTCTCACTAGAAAAGCTTAATGTGTCCAATTTAGAATGTTCATATCAGCAAAAAGAAAAAACGATGCCTGTCATCACCCATCCCCGACAGCCATGGTTAGCGTGTAGTTGACAGTCTTTGTCGGTGGGTTTTTAGCACAAGTGGATGTGGTTGTGTGCCTGCTTTCTTTTCATTTATTGAGACCGTCTCTTCAAGATGTCACAGAATATTGCACTTAGTCACTTTATACGCTCATAGTTTTCACTGTGGGTCTGAAGAGGTCGTGTTTAATTAATCTATGTTATTGGACATTTAGATACTTTGCTGCATAAATGACACTTTTATGAATAGTCCTAGCATACGTCTTTGCAGGATTTTTCACTTATTTCCTTAGGATAAAATCCTAAATGGATCTGAAAGTGTATGTAAACTATTAAAGTTGATACTTGATATTGCCAGAGGGTTGAGAGAAATGTTTAAAATTGATTTGCGATATGCAGTTGGTGTCTGTTTCCTCCATGTACACTGAATCAAATTTATTCTCATTAGTTTGAGAGGGAGACAAACACCTCTCACTGATGTGAATTTTTGAATTTATTCGATTTTAAATGATGAACTTTGATTTTCACATGATTTGGGTCCTTGTTTTTAATTTATGGGGGACAGTAGCTCTAATGCAGACCCTTAAGGAGTGAAGAGGAAATATGTCTGGCCCTTGGAAGTGTGTTGACCAGGCAGGTGGGGTTAGCAAGTGAGGTGGTGTGGAGCCTGGGGCTCCAACATGGTGTCAAACCTGCCTCTGGTGACCGACACAGAAAACATGGGGAGTCTGAGTATCAAGAACAGAGCACTGGTGGCGTGAGTCCTCTTATTTCCAAGGGTTAGACAGCTGTTCCTGTTTGTATTTGGAGTTGGCCTGAATTATTCTGGCACAAGAAGTATTAACGATGGTGCTGAAAAGATGCTCAGCCTCACTTGGGAGGAGAAAAAAGTAAAGGGATCCTAGTTTATAACCAATGGATTAGCAAAAGAACCCTTGAAGTCTGGTAATACCGTGTATTAGCACGTGGAAAGCAGTCGCTCCTGTACTCTGGGTGGAGTGTAAACTGGAACAGCTGCTTTGGAGAATATTTTGAAGCATTTCATCCGTTGAAGACATGTACTACTTTTTAGGTATATGTGTAGATATGCGTAAAACTCACAAAGATCTACCAATGCAGAGATTTGGTCGGAAGAAAACATGGGCATGGGAACAAGCAACTCCCGTGCCCATCCATAGAAGAGTGGAAAATGGTGGTGTATTTATATAAAAGAATACCACATAGGAATTAATAATGCCAGCTCTGTCCTTGTGTATCAACATGGATAAAATCTTGACACGATATTTACAGAGAGAAAAGTCACAAATTTAAAAGATCGTGTTGATGTGGTCCCAGTTATGCACATTGTTAAACACACAGGACCATATGCTGTTTACACACATTCACACACATCCAGAGGTGTGTGGAGTAGCCAGACCCATACGTCAACACCAGGGCAGAGGTGCAGAAAGAACAGGACGAATGAGAAAGGGCTTCTGTTTTATCCAAATATACTAGTTCTTCTTAAAATAAAATCTAAAGTCAACATGACAAAAATTTGATATTGATCCAACTTGAGTAGTGAGTACATAGGGCGTAGTACGTTATTTTCTGTATGTTGTATATGTTGAGATATTTCAAAATTAAACATTTTCACTTGGCAGTAACACTGGCAGTCGTATGCTTGCAGAGACTGTCTATGGAGACTTTTTTCGTCCTTCCAAAACATGGGACTATACTGTCACTCGATTGTCACACACTCACAACTGAGAATGTTGGCTAGGTTGACGGAATCCAAGGGTCAGAAAAGTCCCAAAATCAAAAAGCAACTTGCCCAGTTGGGTGCCACCGTGAATTTATCTCTTCTGAATACCGGAAGGGACTTGCCATCACACTGCACAGGCCACTGGTTGAGTGGGCTGGACAAGGGGACCAGCTGAGTCCAGCTCGAAGCAGAGCCTAGTGTCGAAGCAGAGCCTAGTGTCCTAGAGGCCTGGTTGCAAATAGCCGGGGGGGGGGGGGGAGACGATGCCCGTAGGGCCTGGCCTGTGGAGCCCTTGTTGGCGCTCATGTGCTCTGGAGCAGGGGTCCCAGCTCCTGGTCTGTGGCCTGTGAGGAACCCGGCTGCAGAGCAGGAGGTGAGCGGTGGAATGGGGAAGGGGGTGGAGCTCTGCCTCTGGTCAGATCAGGGGTGTGGGAGACTCTCCTGGGAACGTGAGCCCCACCTGTTATGAACTGTGCGTGCGAGGGGTCTGGATTGTGTGCTCCTCAGGAGAATTGAATGCCTGAGGGTCCCTCCCGCCCCCAACCCATGCCTGTGGCAAAACTGTCTTCCTGAAAGGGGCCCGCTGCTCTCGACCACTGCTGAGCAGTCCCACCACCTCTTGGGGCCGTGCCATCCACACGCCTCTTCCAGCTGTCATTGCCATTGTCCAGATGTAAAGAGTTATCCCGACATGGCTGGCGTGGATACTTCCCTTTTGATATGGTTCCAGGGTGTCTGTTTCTAATCGAAAGCAACCCAAGCTGCTTTAAGATGACGGCTGAAACCTGCCTGATGGAGGGGTTGTGTGGAGACGCACAGTCGCATTCCCCAAACTCTCACCTTTATGCTGTCCCACTCTGATCAGCACGAAGAATACACACTGGCAAGGGCTATAACAGCACGTGTTCTTTTCAGATGAAAATCGGAGAGACCCACACAGATATCGAGCTCAGTGGGCTGTTGCCCAACACGGAGTACACAGTCACGGTTTACGCCATGTTTGGAGAAGAGGCCAGCGACCCTGTGACCGGACAAGAAACAACACGTGAGCAGAGCAGCCGTTCAGATGAGAGGCCACAGCTCGAGACCAAAATAGTGTTGGGATTCTGAACTGGCACTACCCATCTAGAAGCTAATTGTCACTTTCAGACGCGTGTGCTTTATTTAGGGGAAGGAAGTGTATTTCTCCTATTTTGGGTGGTTATGAGTGCTAGGATGCTAGATCCGCACTCCAGCGTCTAGAGGATTCCATCTGTGTCTTGGTCTAAGTCAAAATGTGAGGCCAGAGCCCAGAGGGAAAAGCCCAGACTCTGGGCTCACGGGGGCTTAGAAGGAATTCCCAGCTCAACTCATACTTCAGTGGGTGACTATGGACAAGGTGTGTCACATTTTTGAGTTTGCAAAAGGCAGAACAGCAGTTTTGCTGCGTGTGGTTGGTAGAAGATTAAACACGTGTGAGAGCACTCCGCACTCCGTCACTCAGTATCTGTTTTCCATTCTTTTTTTTTTTTTTTAATTGTAGTCTCACTCTGTCACCCAGACTGGAGTGCAGTGGCCTCTCCCGGCCACCGCAGCCTCAACCTGCTGGGTTCCGGCGTTCCTTCCGCCTCAGCCTTCCATTCTTAACAAAATTAACAGACTTTGCTTTTAAAAATCTTTGCTGTTCTTCTTATCTGAGCCTATTTTTGTTGTAGTCTTTTAGCTGAGTAAAAATCTTATGGGCAATACTAATTCTGACTAAATGCAGGTGATTTATAATGGTTTTAGAAGATGTCTATATTTAGCTAATATTATGGACAATATTCTATATTTATAAATTTATAGTAGAATTTTATATTTATATTCTTATATATTTTTAATTTTATATATTTTATTATATACTTATAAACATATAACATTTATATTTATTTATTTTTTAGACAAATATTCAAGGTTGTGCTTTTCTTGCTCTTCATAGAGAGACCAGTGTAATTAAACAACAAAAAAGCAAAAAAACCTGAGAACCCAAAATAGAAAAGGAAAAGAACGAAATCATGCTGGAAAGCACCCAATATGCCATTTGACTTCAGTGATTTTGGGGACTCTGTCCGTTTGGAAGAAAAACTTTTCTCAACAGCCCATCTCCCTCACTCAGAAGGCTTGTTTCTGTGTATTTACTAAAATATGTACAGCTCTTACCCATCATTAGCAGCTCCTAAAAATGATGTCCTACGTTCCTGTTCCCGAAACTGGCATTTTTATGCACTAAGGAAATTAGACATTATTCTACTGTACAACCAAATTTAGCTGAATTCCAGAAAAATTAAGAGCCAAGTGTTCATAGTACTTAATTGTACTGCTTGTTCCTTTTCTACACGTTCTCTCTAGCCCCTTAAGAATTAAGTGGATCACTTACTCATAGGCGCTTGCCACAGAGTCCACGTGTACTGAATTAGTGTAATAATTGACTTTTGGGGTTAGGAGGCATCACGCCTTGTGGCTGTGGATGGTTCTTGTCAGCGTTTGTCTTTAGGGTTTTTGCTCTGCTGGTCCCCTCAGCACTATTGGGGCCTGTGGGGTTTGTGTGTGTGAGAGAGAGGCAGAGGGAGGCAGAGGGAGAGAGAATGAGAGAGAGAGAGAGAGAGAGAGAGAGAGAGAGAAGAGAGAAATTATTGCACGGGTTGATATTAAGGGCTCTGGAAAATAGTCAGCCGTTGTCTGGGTTAAACTCTAATTCTTCTTCTGCTTCTACTAATATGACCTTGGCAAAGTGGTGATCAGTATAATGGCAATAATTGCAACTCTATCCTTGTATTCTAAAGTCAGGTTTAATGAGATAATATATGCTATATGTCAGACTCAAGGAAAGCTCTCAATAAATGTTAACAAATATTTCGACAATAAACTTGTAAAAGCTTATGAAGCTCTCCAAAATTGTGGACAATGTTTGCTCTATTGAATCAGAAGGGGGTCCTTGGAGAAGTTAAAAAAACTATGGAACTGACAGTAATCTGCAGAAATACCAATCCTGCTTTAAATAAGTTTAAAGTAACAGGGAGGTATTTGTTTTGATTTGTCTCACAAAGCCACTGTGATTTATTCAGGGAAGATAGTGACTCATTAATTCCATAAATATTTACTGAGTCTTTGCTATGTTGAGGAGAGGGAAAAAATTAGACCAAATACCCTAGCCCCTAATATACTGGGGGAGAAATACTGCACACCAAAAATCACAGTGAAGAAAAGCAGGAAAGAAAGATCAAGCAAACAGTCTGCAGATATTGGGGCAACAGCCTTGAGAGCAGAGGGACGCCACCACAGTGGCCTCTGTTTACAAGGGACCCAGCAGTCAGAGACAGGGCGCCGAGATGGCAGAGGTCCCGGTTTGGAGGGCCATGCAGATCTTTGAGAGAACTGTGCTGTGCTCAGGGCGTTGGAAGCCATGAGGGAGGTCTGAGCAGAGGAAAGACACTGTCTGGTGTCCACTAGAGTGTAGCTGTTCCAGGGGACATAGCACCAGGGAGAGCAGCATAGTGGGGGAACCACCACAAGCACCCTAGCCAACGGCCGTGGTTTCTACCAAGCCGGCAGCACAGGGAGAAGCGAAGGGGTCGGATCTGGACACGATGGAGGGAGCTGACCGTGGATTGGAAGAGGGTGTTAGAGAAAGAGGAACCGGAGGCTTCCAGGTGTGTGGCCCGAGCCACGGGAGGCGTGGAGTTTTCGTGGCTCAGAGGAGAGGTTGAGGGAGAGGTGACGGGTAGGTGGTGGGAAGATGGCAGGAGACAGTGACTTCATTCTGGCCACCTGAGTTGGAGATGCCTAATAGCTGCCGTGTGGATGCCAGAGGTACCCTTCTCTCCATAGGATTGGGGAATCAGGGGAAGTGGCGTGCTGCCACGTGGTAGGAGAGTCCCAGCCGAGACTTGGTTCAATGTCCTTGCTCTGGATCTGTTAGGACTCTTGTTGACACTGGCTGTCACAAGAATGTACCTAAGTCTTACTTATTTCTAAGCAGCTTGTTCCTAACAGTCACTCTCTGCAAGGAAGCCCTTGCTCTGTGTTAATAGAGAGCATTATTGATTTTTATGAGACAGTTTACTGGTTTTTTGGGACTGTAAGTGGTGATCCAGGTGATGCTTTCCACATGCAAGTTGTTCAGAAGTCGAAGACACTGTTTCTTGTCTTTCTCACACGTACGTCCCTTGGGATTTTAATTGCTTTCCTTCCCTTCCATTTCCTACCAAGTGCCTCTGAGTCCGCCGAGAAACCTGAGAATCTCCAACGTGGGCTCCAACAGTGCCCGGCTGACCTGGGAGCCCGCCTCCAGGAGGGTCAGCAGCTACCGGATCGTGTATAACAACGCAGACGGCACAGAGATCAACGAGGTGGGCCACGGAGTGGGCACGGGCTTGCAGGAGGGCACCCAGCCACTGAAGGCTGCAGAGCTGAGCCTGGTGGCTTAAAGCAACACGAATCATTCGTTTTCTCTCATGGTTTCTGCGGGTTGGGAATGGGGGCTGGGAAGTGACCGTGGTTAGTCCTGGGTTTGTAGCCAGAGAGTGTCTGGAGCCAGTCTTGCCCCCCAGCTTCCTCCCTACGTGCCTGGTGCCCGGGCCGGGAAGCCGGGACTGCCGGGAGCCGGAGTAGGGCTCCGTGTGTTCAGGCAGACTATTCACATGGTACTTGATAAAACCCATGAAGATATAGTATCTTCATGCAGTGACAAATACTTTCAGAAAAATCTTTCCTTGGAAATATGTTTGAACAAGATAGCAAGGTTATTTTTATTTTATTTTTCCTTAACTTGAGCCAGAAAGCTAAAACAAAGAGGAAAATAGCTTGGATCGCGTCATTTCTATTTTCAGACCAAATAAAGCGAGGGCTTTAATATGCAGAGACAAGCTTTTACCTGAAATCACAACCCAGCAATGTTTTGCAGAACGTGCCCTCATAAGAGATGTCGTGTAACGGTTGGACGGTAGGTTCACGTTTGCTGACATATAGAAATAGGATTCAACATCCTCCTTAAACCATCCTAAATCTCGAGGGTGAATAGTCCTGATGGGTCCCATGGGCGAGCTGCTGTGGCTTTGAAGATAGCAACCTGGAGCAGGACAAAGATGGAAAGAAAAAACTCTGAGCTGCAGATGGCCCTTGCCGCCTGCAGTAAATGAGCGACTTTCCTGAGAGTTGTGATCGCAGCTGCACTGTGGGAGGAGGCCTGTGAGACGAATGACTGGCGTGTGCCACTGCATCTGTGGAAGCAGAAACACCTGAACGAAATGCACTCACCCGCTGTTCTTGAAACTTCAGGGGGCTTAGGCCGCGTTCTGTCTTCTCATCTGGAGACGTGGCTGCAGAAGAAATTCCCTACTGAGAGAAAGACAATTCAAGACCAGTGACAGATGGACAGTGGGCTTTAGTGACAGGGACGCGAGGGCATGGTGGGCATGGATGTGAGGGAAGGTGTGTACATCCAAGCCATGCCTGTCTCAACCCCTGCAGAAATCCATGCAGAGCTGCCAGAACTTGGGACTCTTGGAGAGAGGCCAGTAATTATTACTTTTATTTATCTCTCTATCAATCAATCATCTATCTATCTATCTATCTATCTATCTATCTATCTATCTATCTATCTATCTATCTATCCATCCATCCATTTGAGTTGCAGTCTTACTCCGTCGCCCAGGCTGGAGTGCAGTGGCACGCTCATGGCCACCCCAGTGTCAGTCTGCTGGGCTCCGGCGATCCTTCCACCTCAGCCTTCCAAGTAGCCAGACCTTCAGGTACGCACTACCATGCCCAGCTAATTTTTTGATTTATTGTAGAGATGAGGTCTTGCCAAGTTGCCGGAGCTGATCTCAAACCCGTGGGCTCAGGCAATCCCCTCACCTCGGCCTCGCAAAGTGCTAAGATTACAGGCTGAGCCACCGAGCCCGGCCAATTACTACTTTTATACAGAACTTACTGATTAAAAAACATTGACTTATTGAACAGTCAGAATAACACAACTGTATCCACCAATAAATATCTGCTCATTGTAAAGCATCCTCCTTTGGTCATAATTTTTAATAAAATGAAGATCAACTTTCATATGTATATTCACCATATTTATACAGATAATTATGTAATAAAATTATAGCTGCTGTCTAGGCTACTCAGGCAGCTATAACAAAACACCTTGACTGGGAAATTTGCAAATGAAGTGTGTTGTTGCAGTTCCGGAAGCTGGGGGGGTAGGAGGTGGTGGTCTAGATGCAGACACCCGCAGTTTCGATATCTGGTGAGGGACCATTCCTGGTAGCTGGCACTTTCTAGCTGTGGCCCCATCTGGTAGGAAGGCAAACAAGCTCCCATGGGCTTCTCTTAGAGGGGCACTGATCCCTCATGACCAGGTCACCTCCCAGAGGCCCCAACTCTTAACACTACCGCGCTGGGGAGTGGGTTATCAACATGTGAATTTGTGGGGGACAAAAACGTCAGACCAGAGCGGCTGCTGTGGCTTCCTCTGGTATTTTGCACTGTTTGTCTTTTCAAAGGGCAGCCCCAGGCGAATGAATTTGTTAGTAATGTGCGTGTGCTTTTTTGGAGTGTTTCTCAGTCTTGGGGATGCTGCTAGCATGTGCTGTTTCTAATTGGCTTTGTTCTGGGAAGGTGAGCGTTCTAGGAGTCCATCAGCAAACCCCAGCGAGTGTTGAGAGAGGCTGCATTCAGCTTCAGTAAGTTTGTTTTGGAGAGTCTTTCAGTGCGTTTGCCCATTTCAAGATGGGTGATTTATGCGCGCAACTGCCCACACTGCCCAAAAAGGCGTTACCCCCGTGCCCTACTCTCACCCCATCTCACCCTGAGTGACTTTTTTTTTGTTTCCCTGGATGCAAAAAGTTCACAAAGGGAAACGTTTTGCCCATGTGGAAGGGTTAAGACAAAAATGGGCAGAAGCACTCAGAGGCATCCAAACGGATGAGTTCAAACACTGTCTCGAGCAGTGGAAAAAGCCTCTTGATAGCAGCACTGCATCAGACGGAGAGTCTTTTGAGGATGACTGAAGCTTAAACATGTAAGAGTAAATACACAATTTTTAATGAATAAATTCTGGGTTCTTTGGGGTTCCCCTGTGTCTTACTTTACCTCCTTTGACAGTGCTATTTTAAGAGTGAGTATTTCTACGAGATTTTGATTTAAGCTTCTATTTATAGACAACACGGCAGTTGGAGAAAATACTCAAAACATTCTGGAATGAACTTTAAAATGTCCATCTAAAGTCGACACAGGATGTGACATATTGGTTGTTGAAGCTTTTGCTTGGGCCCCAGCCCACGAGTATTTCCTCTCACTCCCCTTCTGCCCTCACATCCCTGTCCTCCGTCCTTCCTCCCCTGCCTCCCCTGCCTCCCTTTCCTCCTTCCTTCCTCCCTTCTTCCTTCCACACCTCTCTTCCTCCCCCCTCCCTTCTCGCACCTCCCCTTCCTCTCTCCTTCCTCCGTCTTTCCTCCCTCACTTCCCCTTCCTTCCTCCTTGCCTTCCTCCTTCCTTTTCCCTCACCTCTTCCCTCCTTCCTCCCTCAACTTCCCTTCCCCCTCCTTCCTCCCTCACCTCCACTTCCTCCCTTTTTCCTTCCTTACCTCCCCTTCCTCTCCCTGTGTCTTGTTTGCATTATCCTCTCGCCAACCTTTTGGAGACTGAGGAAGAAAAATGAGGCAGTTAAACCCACGTGCCTGGCGCTGGTGGGGACGGTGGCGGTGGTGACGGCAGCTACACCTTTGAGATCCCCATGAGCCAGGCACCGTCCGAGGCCTCTCCAGAGTCCTCGCACGGTCCCTACAGAGCCAGGTGACTTGTCCAGCTAGGACAGCCATCACGGGAGCACTGACTGGGAAAGACCTGGAAAGTGCACGCATTTGGGGTAGAGCTGAGTGCTGCAGTTGGGTTTATCAACACGAAGGCCGGTTTGGGGGCTCCCAGAAGCCGGTTCCCAGCAACGATGACTCAGCGGCGTCCAGAGCGGACCCCGAGTCCCTCGTTCCTTATCAGGGTCCCTTCCTCATCCTGTCCAAGGTTGAGCTGAAGCAAAGCATTCGGCTAGACTGAACATTAGTCTCAGAAGTAGTTGCATAACATGAGGTCATGGTCATCTGTTACCATTTCTTCGATTTTTCATCTTAAAAGTATTGCCAAGAGAATCAACTCCAGGATGAATAGTTTAAAACATGAGATTTTAATGAATAGAAATAAAGAATAGAATAAAATAAATCATACCTAAGGGTCTTCATTTGATGCAATAACATGATAATGTTGAAATCATATAAAATATACTCTATTCAGCATCAAAGAAAATGCTTTAATAAGTAAACTCGATCCTTTTTAATAGCTACACATACTTTTTTCCCTTTTAGTGTCCTGGTGTACCCAAAATTAGATTTTAAATGCTTTTGTGTATGTTTGATATCTTTGCAAAATTCTTTTTCACAGATTTCAGACTTAGAAACAAAGTCAAGGCCGAGCTAGACATTTCGGTTAGTCATCTTATGGCTCGGGGCAAGTCAGTTACATTGTCTGGGCCTCTGGTTTTTCACTGGAGAGCAGTTATAATAGGGCAGGGGTCTGGTGGGAAGGCGAGGGGCACGCTGCCAGGCAGACAGTGGTGATCAAGTCCCTGACACTCCGTTGGCATCAGAACCTCTTAGCTGCGACATTTCAAAACACAGAGAGCAATCTGTAGGCATCATTTAGGAAAGTATGTCTTGAACTCACATTTGACATGTGGATTCATGTTTTCTGGGAATTTAAGTAACGAAGCCATCCTTTGAATAGGGTTTGAATAGTGTTTCCAAGTCTTTCCCAGTCAGTGCTCCCGCGATGTGAAATAGGATTTCACATCGGAAACACCTGTTTTGAGTTTAGATGGTTTCCCCTTGGGCATGTTCTCTAACTTTTTGAAATCTTGTTTTTTCCATGTTCCAATGGGGGGGTAATAATTATCTTCCCTAGGGGATCGTGGTGAGGATTAAGTGAGTTAATGCACGTGGAGTGTGGACAGGAACCCGACTGGAATAGACACTAAGTGCGAAGAGTGACCTAAAGCGTTGTCCGCCCCAACTTGGAGAGAGATGGCGCATTGCCGGCTGACTGTTGCTGTGTGACCAACACTCTGGCTTAAAAGGTGGCTTGTGTGTAATGCAGCCTGGGCAGAGCTCAGCGGGACAGCTTGTGTCTGACCCATGGGTCGACTGGGGTGACTCTCGCCTTGTCTGGGTGCAGGACTGGGCTGGATTTCCAGGATGACCTCACTCCTGTGTGTGTCGCTCCAACCAGAGTGGCTGAAGGGTGGGGGCTGGTTAGCCCTCCCCACGGTGCAGTTCAGGGCCCCATGGGGTGAACTAGAGACTCCTTTTCCAGGGTTGGTGCTCTCCTTTGACCTGCAGTTGGCTTCTTGGCGATGCGTGTAGTTTCTGGATCAGCACTGGGTCCAGATGCGCCATCTCTTTTGAAAGACTGTGTAGCCTCTATCCTCTTCTACTTGTTCTGTTTGCTCAAAAAATACAACTCAATGGACAGTGGTGAAGAAGCTAAGACGGGCTGCCTCAAGGGGTTTACCCTCTGCGGGAGGTCAACAGCACACACCGAGGTGAAGACGAAATAGCTTCAGGCTGGCATGGGTGCCAGGGAGGACACCACAAGGGCAGCACTAGAGAACCGCCCTACTTATCAGTGAGAAGAAGGGTGGAAAGAGACAGCCGCTCTGTGGAAGATATTTAAGCAGCATCCTGACAGGTGAAAAAGGCCTGATGCTGACAAAAGCTAGGGGATAACCTCCCAGAAAGAAGGGGCTGCATGCACAAAGTCCCTGAGGTGGGAAAGCAAGGAGCTGAGAGGCCATGGTGGTTGGATCCCAGCAGGCCATGGGCGCTGAAAGGAAGGGTCATGCCCCAGATGACGTGTGACTAAGAAGGGGGCTTGGCGCATGGCTTTGACCTGCAGGGCGGGAGATGGCCTGTGAAAGTTTATGCAGGGACGTGACACTTTATGTTTTGGTAAAGGTCATTTTGCCTGCCATGAGCAGGCACCTGTAGTATGTTAGTGGCCTTCCTCTTAACCTCAGGTGGCATCAAGATTAGTCACTGGTGGTGCTATGGTCATGGCTCCAAAACGTCTCTCGAAAACGTTTGAAGTGGATGGTTTGGCAGAGGCTGTTTCAGGTGAATGTAATCATCCCTGCCATGTTCCAGGGCATCTTCAGAGATGGGTGTTTCAAAATAAGCCATTATAAGTGCTTGTGAGGCTCCTGGAGACTGTGCCCAAGTCCTCTGGTGCCAGCAACACGCACCTGGCCTGCAGCACACCCTGAAGGTGCCGCCCGCGGCCCAACACCCAGCCCTCTGAGAGAAGGCCGCATCTGCTTTTCCCTTGCCTGGGAGGTGGCTTCCGTCAGGGCCTGGTCTCGGAGTTCCTGCCTTGCCTTCTCTCACCTGGTGGCCACTGCCTGTCTCCTGTCACCTGGTGGCTCCTGCCCCGTCTCTTCTCACCTGGTGGTTTCCTTGACCAAGATTCATTCTGGGCTGTCCTGTTTGCTTCTCTAACCCCTCCCTTTTCTGACACCCTGGGCCTTATCCTCAGAACTTCATCTTTTATGCTTGTTTCCTCCAAATGTGTCCTTCTGTAGAAGGTAGACTATTTCAAGCATTTGCATTTTCTCTAGTATCGACATTCCTGATTCCTCCGTGCCATTGCTGGCGTGTGCTCGTTCAGGAATGACCATGTGTCACAGAGTTGGAGAGCTGACTGGCCCAGGCAGTGAGGCCAGAACCCAGCAGCTCCCACAGATCTGGCTGGAACTGGCACACACGCTGGTTTAGCTGTCTTCACTTTATACCTGTAACGAGTGGAAATAAGACTGACTGCAAAGTCATCCCGAGAATTAGCTGATAGGTGGTCTCTTTGAGGCGTGACTAAGAGATGTGTGTATGAACTAGCCGTTTCTATGACTCCGTGACTTGCCTTGCAGTGTTGATAGCTCTGCTGTCGGCCAGGTGAACAGCAGACAACAGTAGTGATTCGTGCCGTCAGAGCGTCTCAGATTCAGTTGTCATGCCCGCTCGCTTTGCAGGTGGAGGTGGATCCTGTCACCACGTTCCCTCTGAAAGGCCTGACACCGCTCACGGAGTACACTGTGGCCATCTTCTCCGTCTACGACGAAGGACAGTCGGAGCCCCTGACTGGGACGTTTGCCACAGGTGAGCCTCGTCGTGGCCGCCCAGGTTTCGGGTTCAGCTTGTGGAAACCAGAAACCAGAGCCTCTTTTTCAGCTGTGATTGAGGATCGAGTGCATTTTAATTTTATGTGATTATTATTTTATATTATAATTGTATCATATATTAAGTATCGATATATGTTCTTATTACTTTATGCTCGTGTTAACAAATGAGCACTTAGATGACTACTACGTGTGCTGGCTGATTATTTTCTGTCAAAACAAGGAAAAGAGAGAAAAGACCATCTGAAATGAGAAGGTCTCAGTTCTTAAAAAAAATGTTCATTGTTCTCTTTCTAATCTCATACCTTTCATTCCGACGTAAAACTTCCATGTCCTTCTTCCATTCATGTGAGTGTATGTGTTGGATTGGACTTCCAAAGTTGTGGGTGTCCAGCAGTTTGGACCTACAAAAGTGACAGTGTAATGTTATTTAACTGAAAACATTAGTCAATAGCAATCTTCCTGGAGCCAATAACAATCTTCCTGGAGCCTAAAATCATCATACAACAATAAGTAATATTTTAAATGCTAAAATTAAGGATAAGACACGAATACATCATTTTCCCTTTCTATATGTGCCTATCTATCATTGGTGACCCAGCCAGTGTATTATTGGTCACCCAATAAACATGACACTTTTTTTGCCTCTTGGTGGCAATAATTCTGCTGTTTACTTTCTGAATGTGTCATTGACTGTGTGTGGACACAAATTCAGCGCTGTATTGAGGAGAGGAGAAGGTAGTTTGGAGAGATATGAGGAGGAAGCAGGGTTGAGAAGAACGTCCCAGAAACGTTCGCCAGTTTCACAGCACCTCCTGAAGACTGATCTAGTGGGAATGCTCCCAGTGTCCTGTCAGAGTTTTAAAGCCCCTGATTTCCAATAATAAAAACCAATGCCTCGACAGGAATTGTTCTGGGGGGAGCTGGATGTGAGGCTCTCTGTTGCATGCTCCAGAAGCGCGTGTGCTCTGGGACAGGGCTAAGTCTGAAAGTCTGTGTTCGCGTCTGACGCCATCATGTGTACCCATGGAAAGAGTGCAAGTGCTTCTCCAGGACTTTCAACCAGGGAGTGACAGCCGCGAAAGCAAAGAGGGCTGAAGGCTATGTTCCTCGGACCCCTGGGGCACCAGGTTTTGTTAATCTCCTCAAGATACTTGGAAAATAATATTTTGATAAACTCATGACTACAGCATTCTTGTTTTTTCTAGTTAATGAAAACAGCCAAATAGAGAAACTAGGAGTTTGGAAATTACTGGAACACTTTAAAAACCCACAATTTCCATGGTTTCTCTGACTCCTGCCGCTGGCCATGCTGGAGACGAAAGGGCAGGCCACGCGGGAGGGGCCACCCAGCTTCCCTCCGAGCAAGACGTCCTCAGAGAGTCTTCTGCAACCCGGAGCCGTGGAGCTTTGACTTCTGCATCTTCTCCCTTGCCTCACAAAGTCTCTTTCTTGGTGTTGTAGAGGAAGTTCCGGCCCAACAGTACTTGGAAATCGACGAGGTGACCACAGACAGCTTCAGGGTGACCTGGCACCCCCTCTCGGCAGATGAAGGGCTCCACAAGTTGATGTGGATTCCAGTCTACGGGGGGAAGACCGAGGAGGTAAGTTGTCCACCACGGACTGAAAACTAATTAGGGGTATTTTTTTCAAGGTTTTTTTGGCCCCTACTTTTTGCAGACATCGGGTCTTGTGACGTTGCCCAGGCTAGTCTTGAACTCCTGGGCTCAAGTGGTCCTCCTGCCTTGGCCACCCAAAGCGCTGGGGTTCAGGTGTGAGCCACCATGCCTGGCTTGTCAAAACCTTTCACCCAGAAGCGAATGCCTGCTGCTGCACTGGAGTTGGTCTTGACTTAAACAACTTGAGAATCCTGGAAGTGACTGATCTTTTCATGGCATGGAGTCTTACAAATGTCAAATCATGTGATTTTTCTAAGATTAAATGCATTGTTGCCAGACCTTAGTCATACGCCTTATATATTTGCAGATTCTTTGATGTTAATCAATGACATTTAATAAAACTTCAAAATGCCCCTTTTGTGATATTAATAATTTATTTGCGCCGGTCTCCGTCGCCGTCCGCCCGCGCGCAGGCCGCACCATGGGGAAGCGGGACAACCGCGTGGCCTACATGAACCCAATAGCAATGGCCCGATCAAGAGGTCCAATCCAGTCTTCAGGGCCAACAATCCAGGATTATCTGAATCGACCAAGGCCTACCTGGGAAGAAGTGAAAGAGCAACTAGAAAAGAAAAAGAAAGGCTCCAAAGCTTTGGCTGAATTTGAAGAAAAAATGAATGAGAACTGGAAGAAAGAACTAGAAAAACACAGGGAGAAATTGTTAAGTGGAAGTGAGAGCTCATCCAAAAAAAGACAGAGAAAGAAAAAAGAAAAGAAGAAATCTGGTAGGTATTCCTTCTTCTTCATCAAGCTCTGATTCTTCCAGCAGTTCTTCTGATTCTGAAGATGAGGAGAAGAAGCAAGGAAAACGGAGAAAAAAAAAGAAGAACCGTTCACATAAATCTTCTGAAAGCTCTGTGTCAGAAACTGAATCAGACAGTAAGGGTAGTTTAAAAAAGAAAAAGAAGTCAAAGGATGCATCTGAAAAAGAAAAGGACATTAAAGGTCTCAGCAAAAAAAGAAAGATGTATCCTGAAGATAAACCTTTGTCATCTGAGTCTTTATCAGAAGCGGAGTATATTGAGGAGATACGAGCAAAAAAGAAGAAAAGCAGTGAAGAACGAGAAAAAGCAACAGAAAAAACAAAAAAGAAAAAGAAACACAAGAAACACAGTAAGAAGAAGAAAAAGAAGGCTGCTGGTTCAAGTCCTGACTCACCATGACATGAATTAAAATTGGGGTTCCCTTATAAAGAAAGTGCAATGGCTGAGGAAATTTCAGCTGTGAAAAATTACAACATATTTACTAAAATGCATGAATTTCCTTGTTTTTAAAATTATTCCCGGGACTATTCAGTGGCCACTCAGATCCGCTGTGTGAAAGGGCAGTGATTGTTGCCTGCTGCTTGAACATCTGTTTTTTTCTCTTCCAGTTGATAACTCTGGGCGATAATACACTGCAGTACTAGTGGTTAAGAATTTGGGAATAAGATTAATATTTTTGACTACAAGTGTCTAATGATAAATCAACAGAAATAGAATCTGGATATATTTCTAAGATGTAATCAGAAATGATCGGATGACTCTAGTTAAAACTTTGAAAGTGAGGATCACGTTCAAAAGGATATTTCAAAATCCTTACTCTGTAAATAAGTGTGTTTTAATTTTTTTCCCTTGTATACTTTTATTTGCCTGGGGTAGGAGCTTTCAGGGCGGAGGGTGGGTAGTTTGCTATCTCTTTAGTAGCAGAATAGTGTGCCTTTGATCCTCACACATCTCTATTTGTGGATGCAGTAGTCATGCTTCCCAGGGTGGTCAGAGCCAGTACCAGCAGTCTTGCTCTTTCCTGAGCTGGTGACATCCTTGAACTTTGTCATGTGCTGCTTTGAGTGAACTGGAGAAACAGCCCTTTGCAGCATGAGAAAAACCCCAGAAGCTCTGGGCTTTACCTCCACTCCAATAATATATATTTTTTAGCATTAGAATGTGTTATGTCTTTTGAACTAATTTTTATGACATTTTGGCTTTGGAGAGGAATTGTTTCAAATAGACACTGGTACTTTTAAAGATTCTAAAATGCATGTTTTATATACTGTTACGTTTTAACCAGTTAGGAAAATTTTATGTAACCAATGATTACTTTACTTTTTGTATGACTTTTGTTTAGGCTGTAATGTTTAGCTTTTGTTAAGTCCTTTCTCTTGCTTTCTTAAGTTCGTAATTGTGTATATCAGTCTACTTGCCAAGGTATTCAGCATGTAAAAAGCAGGGTTTTGATTTTTTTAAACAGCTTCATATTGAAGCTGAGACTTACATGAACAGCCGAGCAGCAAGCCTAGTGTGCTGTGTCCCCTTACATAAAGCTATTGCCATAATCTTAGTAAATAGAACGTTTTAAACGTTGGTTGTCTTTGTACATTAATAACAAGTTATGATGAGCTAAAGAGTTGTTGCTCTTCCTACGTCATATATTTCACTAAGATTTTGTGCCTCATCTCTACTGCTGAATTGTTTACCAGGAATGTGAAAAGGAATTGATAAATCTTATTCATTTACATTTTATATAATCAGGTAACATGAAATATAGTTGGATGTACAATTTTGCCTGTTACAGAGGGTTTGCTAATTATAGTGGTATATGCACAGAACATGTTGGCATGACAGCAGGCTGAATAAATAGCTATTTTACTTAAAAAAAAAAAAAAAAAAAAATAATTTATTTGCTGGGGGATTGAAAGGAAGAAAGCCTCTGGCTTGACGTCAAAACGAACTTCAACAGCCTTGGAGTTCTTTATGCTTGGTTATTTCTTACGTCCACATGGAATGTCGTTCCTTCTTTTTCTTTGGTTCACGTTCTTCCCTCTCCGTACTCACATGAGCCTGGTGACTGAGCACCAAATGCCTTCTAGGTCGTCCTGAAGGAAGAGCAGGACTCACATGTCATCGAAGGCCTGGAGCCCGGCACGGAGTACGAGGTTTCCCTGCTGGCTGTCCTGGACGACGGGAGTGAGAGCGAGGTGGTGACCGCGGTCGGGACCACACGTGAGTCTTGGGCCAGCCACGAGGTGCTTCTGCTGCTACCGTGGCCCCTCCTGACACCCCTTCACCCGCCGGCGCCCCTCCCCCTGCCTCCTCCTGGTGTGGGGCCTTGGTTTCCCTCTGTCCCAGCATGCTCCATACGTCCTCGCCTCCGAGGCGCCCAGGCAGGAAGTATCCCGGTGTCCTAGACTGTGGTCCCAGGGGGCGAGGACCTGCCGTCGTCTGGCCCGCGGCGACAGTCTCCAGCACTTGGGTGGTGCTTGGCAAGCGTTAGCTGTAAAGACTCGCTGAGCGGGTGGGTGGATGGAGAGATGGACGCGTGCACAGATACCATGATTTATAAATGAACAAATTGGCAAACAAGTAAACCCAGGACTAACATGTCCAAGAGTTTCTGGAATTTTACAAGTTGATCTTGGTCCCAAGCATCTTGTACAGAGTCCACCCGCTGATTCATTCATCGCTTCATTTTTTACATGTGAGGTATTAACCACATAGTACATTGCCTTAGATTGGGGTCCTTGGAACTGGATTCAGAGACAGAAAATTGCACCCCGCAGGCTTGCTGAGCGTGGGGTTGGGAGGTGCTTATGCAAGGAGTAGGGGGCAGCAGGCAGTGGGAGAAGCTGACCCTTGGCTTGGTTGTTCTCAGGAGCTTAGGGTTGGGACACCCTCAGTCTTCCCCGATTTGGGCACAAGGGCTGGGCCTTTGCACCCCCCACCCGGGCGCTGGAGGTGGGCCCGCGCTGACAAAGTCTGACCTCAGGCGAGGCGGTCTCCAGAACTTTGGGCCGCTGGCAGCCACTGCTCCCGCACCTGGTGGGTGGGATTTGGGATTGTTTGCCCAGGGTGGCCACGGAGCCAGAGGCTGTGCTGTGGGCCCAAGGTGGCCGTGGGAGACAGAGGCTGTGCAGATGGCCAGCCATGGCACTCCTGGGGGATCCTGCTGGCAGCTGTCTTGCCTCGGTCGACTGCATGATTCGGTTTCTTTAGCGGCCACGGCTGTGCCATTTCTGAGGCATCCGGCCCTCACAGTTGTGTAGCTGTGATTTAGGAAGCCAGATATCTGGGGTGAGAACTTCTTTGGATTTCGGTTTCCTGATCTGTGGAGCAAGCACATGTGTTGTGGGCGTGCGTGATGGAACATAGCGGGAATCTTCCTTGAGAGCTACACGATGCCGTACACAAAGCACAGACTTACCCTCACGAAATTCTGAAGTCATGAACTGTTTTTAGTTGACAGCATGTGGACAGAGCTGCCCACGACCGAGGCACCAACCAGGCCTGTGACTTCAGGTAAGGGTGGCAGGGGCCATTCCCCCTGCATAGGGTTGGGCCTCAAACGGGAATCGGGCTGTTACGAGTCAGGGAGAGAGCCACCCCCCTTCCCTCCCCGGTACTTGGCCAGACCCCTCCTCTCAGACCTTGGCATCTTCTTTGTGGCAGAGCCTTGATCTGGTGGCCGGGCCTGGCTGACACCTGCTCCCTGCCCACCCCTGTCAAGGACTCCGCTGTCCCGAGGTGTCAGCCCAGCGCCTCCCGGGCCTCAGCCTCTTCTGTGTCTCAGCACCCCCGTGGCTCGCGGTGAGGGTCATTCCAGGCAGGCTTCCTGTGTTTCTGGTTGCCGAGGCCCAGCTCGCCGTCCTTCCTGCTTCCTCCTCGTCTGGCTCTAAGCCCGTCAGTGTCTGCGTCGACAGGGTGAACCCAGCTGGATGACCTTGTCCGTTTCCTCACCTAAGCACTTAGGGGTCCCTGCTGTCCACTTGGCCGTGCATTCGTCCTCCACTAGTCTTTGGTGAGCCGTCTTTGTGTCTCCAGGTCTCGGGGCCCGGTGTCCAGTCTCTCCTCACGGGGCTTCACATCCTTCCTGGTCTCAGCCATCTATCTCTTGCCTCCTGACGTCCAGAACTCTTGTCCTGGATGTGACAAGCCCCCTCTTCCCCTTGCCCGGTGGCCTCCCCTGATTTTTCCTCGTAAATGTCGGTCAGTCTCCTGTCTCCTCTGTGACACGTGCTGTTTTCGTCAAAAGTTCATCACAGTGCACTTTGAAGGCCTGGCCCAGGCCAACACACAGGAAGAGGCCAGTGGGCGTCTCCGAACGCATTAACCAGCGAGTAGAAAGAAAGGCGAGCCAGACGAGATGGATGCAGGAAAGGAAGCCAGGGCAGAGGAAGCAGAAGAAATGGGCCATGGGGGTTGGGGTCCGGAGCTTGGGAGACAAGCAGGGACACCTGAGCCCCAGAGCCCGAGTGATGGTGCTGGGCAGACGTCAGAGAGGAGACAGCCTCGGTGCGGGGTGGAGGGGTCACAGCAGTCTGGTGGGAGGCATGTGCTTTGGGTGGCAAGTGTTCAAAAGGCTGCAGGTAGAGGGTGTGTGTTGGACATCGGCCCACTGGGAGGCCGGCCACAGCGCCGCCTGCCCCGCATCCGTGGAGCCAAGTGCAAGGTTTCACGAGGCCCCGGTCTCCTTGTCCTGCTTGTGAGGGGATGCGCAGAGCCAGTGGCTCAGAGGGCCCCGGGGCTCGTCTGGAAGCGTCTCTCCAACCCAGTTCTGTCTGACCCCTGAGAACCGCTGAGGCTGAGCCCCTCTCGCTCCCTGTGGTCTGCGGGACAGACAAACTGAGCCATGCTTGCTGCAGCCACAGAAGTCCCTGGGCTTGTTGTGGAATGTGATGGGCTGGCAGTTGTTTCATCCAGTTTATTGTGTTTATTCCAGTTTTCCTGACAGGAATCAGAAACCTGGTTATAGGTGACGAAACCACCTCGAGCCTGCGGGTAAAGTGGGACATAGCTGACAGCAGCGTGCAGCAGTTTAGGGTGACCTACCTGACGGCGCAAGGGGCCGCTGCGGAAGAAGTGGTAGGAACGGTCTGTATGAACGCGCTGACCAAAGCCCCTTAGATGCAACTAACAGCTGGCGACGCTGTCTCTGAGCTGATGCACGCCCTGCAGCATCTCCACTGGTAACTCTTCTATCTCCAGGCACTAACGCCCTCTGCTAACCCACACTCCACGCTGGCTTCTGGCCGTTCTGTCGCCAGATCTGGCTCCACATACAGCTTGCCTTTGAGCATGCCTCCCGTGTCGTCTCTGATGCCTCGGCCACCTGTTAGAGTGCTGGATTCTAACTTACACCTAATCTCTGCGTGGGTCTGTATACAAGACTTATACAGATCACAAAGTCTTTTCTTCCTTGGGCATCTGGTAAAAAGCTTTTAAGCGAAGCACATAAGAGGTCTACTATACAGTGTGGCTCAAGCGTTCCTAATAAAATGCCATCCATAACAAATAGTCATATTTCTCATCGACATCAACTCACATTGAGTAGATCTATGGTCATTTCTAGTTTATTCCTAGGCATGGATGTCTCCTTTTAAGGATTTAGATGTTTACATGTTGAGTTTTCTTTAAGTTGTGCGATCTGTATTTCTTTTTCTAAAGGGTAAACCTTGTACCCTCTTAAATCATCACCTTCCCATGTCAGTTTATATCATATCAGTCCTTTTATTTAGTCTAGAACCTGGAAGTGGTTTCCTGGACATGTTTCCAGTGAGACCAGATAACTCCAATGATGCTCCTTTTAGTTGTAAATATGCTTTTTTAGCCTCATTACATGTTTTTCTTGCTCTGCTGCATTATTCCTGACACTCCGGGAAAGAAGTCATCACTCAGACCATATATTTCAAATGACTCATAATCGACAATTTTTTTTAAAAAGTTAAAAATTGTAGTTGACAAAGACATAATTTGGGATATTTTATTTCTTCTGTTATTGCCCTCATTTTGTAATTTAGTTCCTAAAAATGAGATCAGTAAAAATTTCCCAGGGTCAGAGGGTTTTTTGGCTCTTGTTTTTTGCTCTTTCTAAGAAACATAAGAAGCTTCTTAGTGTATTATTTCTGCTAATTTGGAAAGAGTAACAATTTAATCTCATGCGTGCACTTATAAGCTACACAAGGTAAAATAATAATAATATTTACTTTGGGTTGTCTCTAGATGATTTTCCCTTTGCTAGTTTCTTTCATTTCACACTGTTTATTTTTGAAATACTTGGACACCTAGATGAAGGGGAAAAAAGATAAAAAGTCTCTTAAACACTTTGCCTTAGTAAAACAAACCTTTAATAAAAATGAAAAATATTAATAAATTTGGCGGTGATTATTTACTGTGCAAAACTTTTTTTTTTTGCTATACAGAGGAAACTACTATAGAATTCTTTAAATTAAACATCAAACTCCTTTAGTGAATCATGATTAATTTGGGTGCATACACACTTAATTTAATCATGTGGAGTGAAGGGCAACTTCTCAGGGACTCCCTAGAGAATTAACTGGAAATTTACGCCGGCATTTTATAAAGTGTTGCTGTACCCATGGGAGGCCTGATTATTGGAGACAGAAAGTGGCTGCAGGTAAGTTCAGATTAAGAAACTGAGGGAGGCCAGACAGATACAGACCCTTGTCAAAGTACAAGGGTCTTGAGATCACGTGGACCAAACAATGTCTTAAAAAAATGATACGAGGCAGGGAAAACAGATGGCTAGGACATGTTACAGAAGCAAGAGAGGAAAGGTGTTCAGCTATAAGGAATGCCAGATGGTCTTTGACTATGCCAGATGATTGACTTTAGGTGAGGACAGAACAAGCAAGTGTGCTGGACAGCAGTGCATGTATGTAACATTGCAAACCGAATGTCAGCTGTCATGCATGTAAAACAGGGGAATTGAATTTACCTTTCCAGGTAAATAGAACATTTATATACTTTCTAGATGTAATTAAATTTTCCACATATTTATAAGAAAAAGCCTTTGAACTCTTAGAAATAAAACTATGAGTACCTGTCAAATATTTTGTAAGGATTGACTTTCAACTCTGCTTTGAACTGCAGAGCATTGGCAATGGCATTGCCTTAAGTTTTGTTGTTAGAGTGGGAAGGTGTCTCACTTGTTTGTAAAATCCTCGTCAGGATTCCAGGCTTTTCTAGAGCCTAACTGTCAAAATCTGTGACTAAAACCTGGATTCTGAGTTGCAGGAAATTTTCTGGATAGGGTCACTCAAAGTGTGGCTCGGTCTTCTACAAGAAAAGTTCAGATGTTGAGATTAATCTTTTAGACACATTGGTAGCTGTTTGACACTGCTGTGGCAATCCAAGAACATGATTACAATTACAGTCTGATCTTACAGTAAGTCCCCTACATTCACACCTCCAAGTAGCAAACTTTCAAAGTTGTAAACATGTGTTTGTGAGTCCAGTCATGTAAGTTCGTTCATGTGTCTGGTGTACGTTGTCATGTGCATGCATCCTCTACAAGTGGTTGTGCTTTTGTGCACTTTACAGTACCATCTAGAGCACAGTTGTACAGTATCTTTATTTCAAGCCCAGGATGTCTAGAAGCAAGTGTACAAGGAGCAGTGATATAGCTGCTACGGCTAAGAATCACCAAGTGACAACAATGGAAACAAAAAATGAAAATAATTGAGAGGGGAGCGGTGCAAAAAGTTTGTAGATGTCACTTGTTTTTGTAACACAAATCATTCAACCATATCAGCATGATGCTAAAGAACACGGACAAGATCACAGAGCACGTGAAGTGGGCTGTGCCGATGATGTCGACCATCATTTGGAAGAACGTGGAACAGTGATGGAGGAGACGGAGAGACTTCCCACACCTGAGTCAAGTCCCACTCGGCTTGTTGCTGATTCAAGAGAAAGCTAAAAGCCTTTATGAAGACCTGAAGAAGCAGCACAGCGGAGAATCAGAGGGCGCCTCTTTGAATGCCAGCCACGGCTACTTGCGTCCGTTCAAGGCGAGAGCCAGCCGTCACAGGGTAAAAGTAGGAGGCAAGGCAGTGAGTGCGGATACAGGAGCTGCCTGGGAGTTTCCTGAAATGCTTCAAGAAGTGGCCGATGATAGAGTGTATTTGCCTAAGTGGGCTTTTCATGTGAATGCATGCCACAGGACTGTTCTGGAAGAGGATACCTGACCGAAGTGGCATCAGTAAGGAGGAAAAGTTGATGCCAGACTGTACAGCAGCAAAGGAGAGGCTAGCTCTGTTGTCTGGTGGCGATGCTGCCAGCGACGTGAAGCCGAAGCCTCTCTTGGTTTATCATGCGGAGAACCCAAGAGCCCTTGAAAGCAAAGCCAAGGCCACTCGCCAGGACTGGCTTTTCCGCCACTTCATCCCGAGGCGGAGGAACGTTGCCTGGAGAAGGGCGTCGCCTTCGGCATTCCCTTGCCGCTTGACAGTACTCTGGGACAGTACTCATGGACGACCTTCACCCCAATGTCAAAGCCGTGCATCTGCCACCGGATGCTACGTTGCTCATCTGACCTGTGGGCCAGGGATTTACAACAACTTTCAATAAATACTTTTTAATTAAATTTGCTATGATTAGCTACATCACTAGGCTGGCTGCAGGCAAAGTTTGGGCTTCTAGGGGACCCATGCTCCCTCAGGAGTGGACCAGGGACCCGTTGTGTTGTCACGTGCCCCCCACCTTCCTTCACCCCTCCCTCCCCTGGCAGTGCCCAGCAATTGCCGATCCCTCCCCTGCACTCGGGTGACTGATACTCAAGGCCCACTTATGAGTGAGAACATACAACATTCAGTTCTTTGTTCTGTGATAGATCACTTTGTATGATGGTCCCCAGCTCCATCCAATTTGCTGCAAAGCCCATGCTTTTCTTCTTCTTTAGGACTGTGTAATACTCCATTGTGTTTATGTACCACATTTTCTTTATCTAGTTAGTCCACTTTTGATGGGCAGTAGGGTTGGTTCCATATTTTTGCTATTGTGAATAGTGCTGCAGTAAACATGCATGTGTACATGTCTTTTTGGTAGAGCAACTTATGTTTTTCAGGGTATATTCCCAGAAGAGGGATTGCTGGATCGTATGGAAAGTCAATTTTTAGTTCTTTTAGGAATTGCTACATGACTTTTGATAGAAGTTGTACTATCTTGCACTCCCACCAACAGTGTAGAAGCATTCCCTTTTCTCCACACCCATGCCAGCCTCTGTTGTTTTTTGACTTAATGATAGCTGCCCTTACTAGAGTTGGGTGTTATCTCAGAGTGTTTTGATTTGCATTTATCTGATGATTAGTGAGGCTGAGCATTTTTCATGTGTCTTTTGGCTGCTTGTATGTCATCTTTTGAGAAATATCTGTTCATGTCCTTTGCCCCCTTTTTAATGGGGTTGTTTGTTTTTTTCCTTTCACTTTGTTTGAGTTCCTTGTAGGTCCTGGATGTTAGGCCTTTGTCAGATACATAATTTGGAATTTTTTTCCCCATTCTGTGAGTTGTCTCCCTACTCTCTTAACAGTTTCTTCTGCTGTGCAAAAGCTTTTTGCTTTGATGAGGTCCCACTTGTCTTTCTTAGGGTTTATGGCATTCACCTTGGGGGACTTGGTCAAGAATGTTGCGTACTCTGATGTGCATAAAGGTGTTTCCTACGTTTTCTTCTAGGACTCTTATAGTTTGAGGTTTTGCGTTTAGGTCTTTGATCCATATAGAGTTAATTTTGTATATGGTAATAAGTAGGGGTCCAGTTTCATTCTTATGCACGTGGTCAGTCAGTTTTCCCAGCACCATTTGCTAAATATGGTCTCTTTTCCCCAGTGATTATTATTGCTGGTATTGTTGAAGATGAGTTGGTTGAGACACTATGTTTTTGCTTCTGGAATCTCTGTCCTGTTCCATTGATCTATGTGCATTACCAGGCTGTTTTGGTTATTGTAGCCTTGTAATAAAGTTTAAAGTTTGGCAATGCAATACCTGCCACTTTGTTTCTTTTGCTGAGGATTGTTTTGGCTATTGGTGACCCTTTTTTGTTTCCATGTGACTTTGTGTATTGTCAT